CAAACGTGTTAAATCTAACATAGACGATATGGTTTGAGGTCTCTGTCTTGCGACGTTTACGAGGTGGTTGGCCACGGACGAGGTTAACGATGCTAAATAGTATCAGAGTCTAGTTGAGCAGCTTCTAGGCAATCATCTATTTGCCGTAGAGTTCATCGGTTGCAAACAATTCTTGTTTACTAGTTAGTGAGATATCTTCATCACTTTGGTATGAGAAATCGGAACATGGTTCCGTTGAGTCATCATCCTGGCCTAACCTCAGATAGAGATTTCTCCATCCAAGTGATTGAAATCGATAGAGAGTTGTCCTCGTTATCAGATCTTCTGATTTGCGCTTGGCAACATGGTTGCGAAGTTTGTGGTGGTTGCACGAGTATCGTCGATCTCGGTGTCTTCGTCATTGTCGACGAGAGGAAGAATGGGTTTGTCACGCAACTGTTTCTCGAAGTTGCTGAACGCATGTTTCCTGAGCCATCTTCATGGTGAAGGAATAGATTGAGGGTAGCTGAAAGCTATTGTGTTTGTTAACAAAATGCACTACGCTAAAAGCTAGTGTAAAATCTTTCGAGTGTTTTGAGTTTGAGAGAATGAAAGTTATGAGAGAGATTAGAAAGCTATGAAACTAATCAACGAGAGAGATCATCATAAGGGATCGTAGATCTGGTCTTCCCGCGGGAGACTATAAAGTGTGATAGAGTAGGTTGCGTAGTAATCCTACGTATCTTCACGATCCTAAAACGGAACGCGTGGAAGATTTGTCTAGCATTGATCTAGTAGCGTGGAAGTACTCCACGCTGGCTAAATATCTAGAGCGATGTTTCATCATCAACCTAGTATGACTAGAGCGGTCATTGAGAACCCTGTCTCAAATGACTATTCACGAGAGACTCAGTCATGAGTCGAACTCAAACCCTATCTAGGATCGAGTCGCGAATAAGGCTAAGAGCCGTGTATTGCAATTGCGTACTGCTTATGCCATCAACAGAGACGCAAACGTCCATTCCATTGGGAAAATAAGGGAGATTGGTGCTACCAGCCGTACCTGGAAACTGATTACAAGTGCTGAAGACCATTGTGCACGTATTCAACATGACATTTTGAAGGGCGATGCCTACAAGAATGTCATCAAGGAAATGGAAAGAAGCATCCGTAAAGACCATTTCATGCATGACCGAGTTGCAGCACTCAAGGAGGACGTGGTGGAAAGGGGGAATACAAACAGAAGGGAGAATGAGCGGCAACGAAACACCGGTATCCACATGACTGTTGCCATGCTTGGCTGCATCGAGTACTCACGTCTTAGGAAAAAGGATCACACACAAGACCTTCTGGTTGAGCTTCAGGCAAGAGTACCACCAGCGGAGATTGAGGCCATCACAGCGTTCAACTACACAGACAGAAGGTAGAGGCTGAAGCTGGAAGAAACAATGAGAGTGCGAGAGCTCTGCAAAGACTTGGCTGAAAGTGAGTGAAAGGCGAAGCTCGAAATAGCACAGAAGGGCTTCGAAAAGCAGTCATCTGCTACCTTTGACAATCTTGCACAGTAGGAGATCAGTTGCGCTGTTGCTTTCTTGTCCTGTTTCATATAACAACCAATGGCGAGGAGCTAACAACAGTACCTTGACAGCTGAAAAGCCACTTTTTGGGTAAGTGGCGGCAGCTCCATTTGGTGACAAAACTGATGCTTTCATGCTAACCATTGCCATCTTTCCTAAAATAAACCAGGGGCGATTGACGGCGACCATGACACACAGTTACAACTGTATGGTGGTCCTTACCACAGTTCACATGTTACATAGCCAACTGTTGCCACAACCGGCATCTTGTCATGGTGGTCTTCTTTTTGAGTTTGTTCTTTCCAGCCACCGTTGTTTTCTGGCCATCAGAATTTCTACCAGACGCACGCAAAACGCGCGTAGCGGATTTCTGAGTACCAGAAAATCGCTGATCCTACGGAAGCTGGGTGCCATAGATTCATCAAACTAGACTACTGGCTAGCTACCGGTAGCTAGCTAGCCTAGTACTGAGTAGGTATTGTACCTGGATACAGTAAGCCAGAGAGAGCTGGTTGGTGCTATTCTTTCGTTCTTGGAAGAGAGGTTTGGCACCTCAATTTATTATTACTTCCTACCTCTGGATAGCGTACGATGTACCAGTACGGTAGCTATGCATATGAATAGCCAGCTACATGTACCGGCAGTGACTAGTAGCTAGCTAGCTAGAGTACGATATGGTCTCGATGGAGATCAAGTGCTGTAGCTATCAGCAGTCCACCACGCACCTCTTGACCGTTCCAATCGTCAGGAGCTATTACTAACGTAACACAGTACCTGGTACCGGTACTATGGTACGTTTAGGGTACCAGGTACGGGTAGCATGATCAATCAACAAAACTAAGACCGCAGCTGGAGCAATACTCTACATGTACTAGTACCTGCTAGCTGCCAAGTGATGCCATTCAGGAAACCAAATCCTAACATTCATGGTGGCGCCAAAAGAAGGGAGTCTTGTAAACTCGTCGCCAAAGCTAATAATTTCCCTACAGCCTTCGCCGACTTTAATGAACCCGCTCCCTAAGGTAGGGTATCCCATTTGTATTGTCTTGTTCGTTCCCTTGACAGCTTCTCTGATTCGATTCTTGTTGAAAAAGCTGTTGGCAGTGGCACCATTCATTCCATCCGAGGGTTGTATTGTAGTGGTACCGTTCGATACGATCTACTTTCCATACACCTAACTGCGTCTACGATTGTCTCTTGGCAACCATAATGAAGCTATAGTGAAGCGCCCACTACTTGCTAGCTAGCTCTAATAAGAGGCACAGAAGAAAGGCATCGAAATTGCTGGCTGGCTGGTGGTACCGTAGGAATAGAAGTTCGAGTGGTCTTCGTGTCAGCGGATCAATCGAATCGAATCTCTGCCATACGGGATTCTGTTGTTGTTGTCGTTGTGGCGGCTGAATACTATCTCTTTTGGTGGTTTGTGGGGAGGGGTTTGTCAAACAAAGAAGGGAAGAAAAGAAAGCTGTAACGACTGTGTTGGGAAGCAGCCAAAGAGAGTTGCGCGTCGACAGCTCACGGGCGAGAAAGTTCAAGATTCTGCTGGCTAGCTAGGAGCAACAATTTGCTTTTCCGTGGACATTGGAATAGAGTCGAATCGAATCAGCTCTCTCTCTCCATTGGCAATCTGATCTGCTATCTGTCTCTGACTACCAATCCTCGAATCAATCAAACCATCGAATCGAACCATGGCCACCGCCCCGAATGGCTCTGCCAACGCGGAGGGCAACAACCACAGTCCCATTCGCCCCAGAGGAAGCCTGCTGTCGTCTACCAACACCAAACTCAGCCGTAGTCAATGGAAACGAGCGCGCAAAGCCCGACGGGAAGCCAAAGTCGTCCAAAAGTCTGCCTCTCATGTCGATAAGATCGTTCGAGAATTGACCGAAGGATTGCCTTTCTTGCTCAACACACCCAATCAACCCATTGCCAAGTTTCATCGCAGTGAAATTGTTGTGGGAAATCTACTGGGAAGAGGAGTCTTTGCTCGGGTCTACGAAGTCAAAGATTTCGATTTGCACGATGAAGACGAAGAAGAAGAAGTCTCGGAACGACTGTCGCCTCAGCAACAAATCATTCAAGAAATGGGAGGAAACGGAGGAGTGCCACCTTTTGACAGCAGTAGTAGCAGCCATGGCAGTAGCAACTTTCCTCAAAACCAACAACTCATCAACACGGTCGATGACAGGCCCCTCGGAGCCATTGCCGAAAGTGAGAGTGACGAAGAAGACGATGCGTGGGGCGCTCGGACAAGAAACCAAAGACAAAGACGACAACAACAGCAACAAAGACCTCGACAACAGCAACCACAAAATGGCGGTGGAGGTGGCAGCAGCACGGATTCGCCCAATGGGGATGACTCTACTACGGCTGGAACGTCCTCCACGGCTCCCATTAGTGCTCCGCCCACACCACCTTTGCCACCGCAAGCCTTGTTGGAAGACGAAGGAAGTGCACGGACGGTACGGTTTGGGACCAATAATCGAGGGTCCTCATCACTGGTACCCCACAACAGCAACAGCGTTCGGGCAGCCCGTGGCAGCATGCCCAATCGACCGTCTCTGCGCTTTAGCACGTCCAATTATCAACGCAATTTCATGTCGTCCAATCATCTAGATCTGGATCAATCGACCCTACGGCTCAAAGCAAGAGATGTCGTTCAAAGTGGAGAAATGGGATATGCCCTCAAGCATCTGACACAAACGCTATTGAGAAATCCAAAAGATTTTTACTTGGCTGCAGCGGCGCTCCTGGTGGAAGCCAAATACTTGTCCAAACTAAATCATCCCAACATTATCAAAGTCACGGGACTAGCCATGAGCGGTGCTGGTATTGTGGAACAAGAAACACCCAAACAACAACCCAAAAAGAGCATTTCCTCACGTTTCTTTGACGACGCTAGTAACGATAACGATCACGGTCCCAAGAACGGGCTAGAAAGTGCGCAACACGACAGCTACTTTCTAGTCTCGGAGCGATTGACGGACACGTTGGACCGAAGGATACGACAATGGAAGCGGGATCAACCCGCACGAAAGAAACTCTCCGAGTTGACCAGTGGACAGAAAATACAAGCGTGGAAACACATGATGCGGAAAACCAGCTATGCATTGCAAATATCCAATGCATTGGCATACCTACACGAACGCAACTTGTTATATCGAGATCTTAAGGTTTGTGCACTTTTGTCTGTATGTGTTTGTGTGTACTCTGTGCTTCTCCGTCATAATATCTCTCACAGGAATGTAAGCCCCCGAACATTGGCTTTAGCGGTGACAATCAAACCATTGTGCTGTTCAATTTTGGACTGTGTCGCGAACTGAATCCGGCGACGCTCAAGGTTCGAGAAGATCCCGTAACGGCACTCTTCGGAGCTTTGAGTTGGAGGTATACAGCCGTCGAATGCTTCCCCCAGCCTGTCGTGGCCACACCGGCGCAACTCGTGGCCAGCAGTACACGTTTCTTGCAGAATCACAGCTCTCGCAGTTTTGGATTGGATTCACTGTCCAGCAGTCTGCATGGGAGAAAGGGAGGGCGCAAATACGCGTCGTCGGAGGATGTGTCTCCCCAGGAAGTGCAGCGTGAACTCCTGGCGGTTCAGGAAGAGTATCAAGAAGAAATAATTAGTGCATCGATGCACAATAATTCCGCAGGCTCGTCTCGTTCCCGATCCAATACGCCACGTCCGAATTTGCCAGAGGACATCAGCAACAACGACAAGAAGAAGAAGAAGAAGAAAAAGGTCCAAGACTGTGTGCACATGGTCAAGGCATCGTACGACGTAAATGTTGATGTGTACAGCTGGGCAATGGTGTATTATGAAATGTTGACACTCAATCAGCCATTTTCGGGCATGACGCAGAAGGAGCATCTGCGAAAAGTCGCCGGTCCAAAGGGAGGTCAACGGCCGGGGGTGTATCAGTTCGATTTGACACCATCCATGATATCGTTGTTGCAACGCGCCTGGGATCAAAACCCAAAGAAACGACCGACCATGGAGAGCGTAGGTCGAAATCTTCAACTGATCCTTCGCGAGCTCGAAGTTCTCATCAAAGCAGAGCAAAAGGTGCTGCTGAAGAAAGCTGGTGGCACGGAAGAAGCAGTGGCAGCGCTGACATCTCGGGAAGAACGGGCGGCAAGGCGTGCCAAATTAATTATGGAAGAAACAGAGCGGATGGTCAACAGTGCGCGATCTCCGCTGAAGCGCGTGGGGAAAAACTCCTCTGTTTTGAAAGCAGTGATAAAGCAAGTCGATGGACTGTTTGCAAAGAATCGTTATCGCCGAGGCGATGTCCGTGACAGCGTCATGGGGCCACCAGCTACTGCCCTTTTGGGGACGACACCAGCCCCCAATGTCATTCCTGGTCTTGCTAATCCCGCATCAACACCGGGATCTCGGGATTCCATTGCAACCGCAACCGATATCGATGTTGATGCGTTGGAGTATGAAGCATGGAGCAGCGACGGGGGAGACGATGGAGAGTCGCTGTCTATGGAGTCGGAAGATCCTTCTTCGCTGACAGACAACTTCGGGGAAACTGCAGGCAATCGAGATAGTGCACCAGCGGAAAACGCAGAATTTGAGATTCCTGTCATTGTTGAGGAAGACGAGAACGAAGAAGGAAGCGATGCAGATGTGGTGGGAGATGCAATATCTGCTTTTCGAAACAAAAAGAAAGAAACAAAATCACAGCAAAGCCTCAGCGGAAACACAGGCGAGCGAGTTCCCAGATCGCGGAGAAAAACGAAGTCTGACTCAATGAAGTACAAATCCCGCAAAAACATGCTCGACAACTTTTCCTTGGAACGTCGCGGTACGAATCGCATGTCTCGCAGAACAATGAGGTTATCACGTGCCAGTGTTTGGATGATGCGGCGGGACGTTCGAATCTTTGTCATTCTTTTTTCCATTGCAGTAACGGCAGCATTTTGCGGTGCGGGATGGTCTTGGTACAAGAGGCGACAACGAACTTGGCTTGGAGTTGATTTGGAGTATTTGGGAGTGCATAACAAGTCAAACGCCAGGGAAGTTCTCGAAGGTGCCATCATGGATGCCTGCCGTCACGAAGTCGTGCCAGAAAAAGATCCGAATGTTCCTATGATATTCCAGGGTGGTGCTCTTTCTCCAGTGGATTTGGAGTGCACCGATAAATTGCAAAGGCAACTGGACGATAAAATGGCTCGGGTTACTGGTGTACCGGTTAAGAAGCCCAACTCTGCATTCGTTGGTTTTTTGAACCTTCAGCAGTTCGACCGGCCACCACCACAGCCGAAGAAACGATGGCGGAGGAAGAGGGTTTGGAAGTTTTTCCGAGAGCCAGACTCGAATAAGGCTTCCTCGCCTCCGTCCTATCCTTCACGCGTTGACTATCCGGCCACCGAACGCAAGGAGGAGTCAGCCAATGCTCTTGTTTCTGAACATACCCGCACGGAAGCGGAAATGTCTTGCGACGAATCCTGTACGGAAAGAGAAGAAATCGCCGACATGTTTCCAAGCAGTTTGCAAACGACCTGGGGAACACTATTCGGGCAGAAACGAAGTGCTGAGCAACGCTCGAATGGGTTAGGTGAAGATGAGGATGTACATATTATGATCCCCGATACCAAAGGAAAGAATCCTCCTGAGCTCACCGATTTGGAAACAGCACCCGTCGAAGAGGAAGCGCCATCATCAGTGCGGCTACCGGTATAGAGGAAAGGAGCAAGGCCATTGTGAAAACTCCAAAGTTTTTTCTAATGTAGTGTTAAGCTAGCGCATAGTGTGTATGAAGCTCTACTCTACCGATACAGCGTACAGTCGCACGCTGTTGGGTAGCGCAAATGGCAACGCTTTGTTCGCATTGAAGGTACCGCATCATTCATTTCCTTGCAATGCGTTGGTGGCTGGATCTGCAGGAAGGATGACGAAGGAAGCATTATTTGTTGCTCTCCGGATACTTTACCATACTGTACGGTATACCCTTGCTAGGTAGCAGGTACGCAGCCAGCGTACCACCAGGTGGTTGATTGAAACTGCAAATGTCATTGTCCTACGCCTGAGATTCCCGTTTCCTGCGGTTCCAGCCAGGTACCGGGAACATTACAGTGCACATTGGGATCTGCGTGCCAAGGATTGATGGATATGTTGAGCGGGAGTTGATTACAGTGAAGAAAACCTACCCGTTCCCTTACAACGGACTCATGAACAGGAGTCACAGTCCAGTACCGTACATGACATGTAGCTACTTACACCTACTACTCTGAACCCCCTCAAAGCTACTTACGGCAAACTTCGCGGCGCAGGTTCTGGTCCGCTGCTTGCCATTGAAGAGGTCTCTCCAGTGGTGCAACTGGTGGAAGCTGCACGGGGCAGTGGGGCTACCGGTACCGGCAGCTGGCTGCGGCCAGTGCAGCCATGCAGCGACCACCACCAAAGCATACATTTCAACAACTGTACGAAGTGCACAGCAATCCTACGCGAGGTGGCCCCTGTACTGCAGTTACTTGTTCTCGTTGAATCCATTGATCCCCCAGCAACATGCAATGTTGAACTGTTAAGATATTATGTATTCTAAAAAGTTGGTTCTTCTGCTGCAGCACGCTGATCGCAGACCAATGACGGTACGGTATGGTACCGGAAACGCAGTGTGAGGAAGTGAAGGAGGTAGGTAGTGTTCTCTTGCGGTGCATGTAATCATGGAATGGGACTCGTGAGATTGGATTGGTTTCGTGTCTTGGAAGTGTTGGCCAGACTGCATAATCCTCTACTAGCTAGCTTGACTGTGCGTTTGACTCTTCCTGAAGCAACCTCGGCTGCTTAATAAACTTCATTCGACGGCTCGCTGATCCTCTGCGCTGCAGTTGCCTTGCCCTTGATCTTGTTTCGCTTGATACAGTGGCACAAATCAGGCTGTCCTTGGATGAAGAACTTGTGCCAATAGCTGCCTTTTTCGGGGCCCCCTGTAAACCTAATAAAGTCATACAAATTGAGCTGCAAGAGAAGATGGGCAACAATGTTAGTTATGATAAGTCGTAGCCGAATCACCCAGAAGACGCCACAATGACTGAGAAGCCAGTGCTCCATGCTGCTCTTACCTGTCGCTGAAAACTTGCATAGTTTTTCATTGCTGGGAAATACATAGGCAGGACCAGATTCACAAATTGGTCTGATTCATGAATCCGGAAGGCTTTGCCCCCTTGGGTAAACGAAGCAATGTGGCTCAATCCTGCCTCTTCGAGTTCCTCTAGCAACCAGTAGAGCTTGTGGGGAAAGAGCGCAATGCGTCCACGTCGATCTTTTTTATCCTGGCCCTGTGGTTCCTGTTCGGCCAACGGTGTACTTCCTAGGGCAGCTGCGACTTGAGTGGTTTCCACGTCGGCCCTGGGTGGAGCTGGAGCTGGAGTAGCGGTATGATCATTTGGTGCACGTGCACGTGCCGGTGCAAGGGCAGTAACCTCGAAACCCCCGATGTTGCAGCTCCTGGTAGACTCCAATAGACCAATGGGTTGCTGGGACGGAGGCACACTTGGGCTCGCCACAGCCTGTGGTGGACAGAAGGAATCCACTGGACCTTGGAGGGCTTGAAGTGATACTTGAGTATCAATGGGTGGTGGCGTAGTATCAGACACACCAGTGCTCAAGTACCTGGTAGCCTCCAATAGACCGACGGATCGCTGGGATGGAGACACACTTGGGATCACCACTGCCGTGGTGGACTTTGTGTCTCCAGCTCAGCTTGGGTGGCCTGAAATGTGACCTGGGCCGATTCCACGCTGGCCATACTACGAGGTGCGGCAGTGGCAGTAATGACATCTCCAACCATCACGTTACTCATACCCGAATCTGCCAAAAGATCAAACAGCTGCTGGGACGGAAGCATTCTTGGGCTCACAGCTGCCTGTGCGGCAATGGGAGAATCTGCTCGGCTCCCAAGAGCTCGGAGGGCATCAATGATTATGGCCACGCGCAGCTCCGCTTGTAGGTGCTGCCTCACCTGTGGACTTCCAAGGTCTGTGAGCAGTTCCAACAGTAACATCCGGTCATCTTGGCGCATCTGTTCTCTCTCTCGGAGCGCCCTGGCCAACCTCTGCCTGACATACAACTCGACTTGCATCTGGCGTTCTCGTTGGATCTGGTTCTGCCTATCTTCTTCCTGTCTCTTGAGCACTTGAGCGAGCAAAGAAACGATGTCACCATCATGGTCGGCAGGGCCTCTGTTGGGCGCTGCATTGTTGACGAGGACAGTCTGGGCCTGATCATTCGCAACCGAGGAAGCAACCTGTGCAACAGGCGATGACTCCCAGTGTTGGGTGGGGTGTTGCTCGATGCTCTCCACAGCTTGTCGGAGGCAGCTCTGAACGAAGGCTGATAAGTCTGTGACGGGAGCGCCGTGGCTGTTTGCGTTAGTGGCGTTCATTGTCTTGAAAGTGATACGAGATTGCAACGGGTTTCGGATACGATAAAAAGTGTAAGGCAGTGAGATTTGAGCTGGGTTATGGCAAGAGGAAAAACGTCGGTCGTCGCTCCCGTTTCAACGTGTCCGCTCTACTCTGGCTCGCTATCGTTTCTGTTTGTCGGCTCCCTACGGACACTGTCGCACTTGAGTGGCTGCTGCGAATGAATGCCCACGATAAAGAGTAGTGAGCAATTACACAGTGTCCCGCGGTGTGTTGTCTGTTTCTCGTGTGTGTGGTCAAATCTGACAGAACAACCGCAGACGCCCCATTTTAATAAGGTTCCAATTCTGAATGTTGCTGTAGATGAATGATGAATCTGCGACATCACGTTAGCATAGTTCTATTCTTTATAAGTCGAGATAATACCGTATTATTTAATACTGTAGTATGATCATCCACTCAAAATACAGTCTTCAAAAGGGAAGGGTATCGTCGTACCGTGCCGTAGCTTTCAGTACGAACTGGATCACTGGATCGAAGACATCGTTGAAGAAGCCCTTGACTGAGAACTCAAGGAAACAGTGACCTGTGTTCTGGAGTGTTCTGGATCCTGCCTCAATCCAGAACCAGAAGTTGTTCAGAATTCAGAATTGTCATAATATTATTTGACCGACGCTTGACGCTCTTGAAGATTGGATTGGATCGAATCGAATCGAATTCAATCGCATCATTCCTACCTGGTACCAGGTACCGGTACCGGTACCGGTACTAGTACAGTAGCTAGCCAGCACTTGTGGTGGGCAGCTACCGGTACCCGTACCGGTACCGTGGAACATTGGCTGACCAGAAATGGCCTCATCTGAACTCTGCACCACTATTACGTGACAGGATCCCCATTCAGCAATCTGTTTTTCCCATTGGCGGATCTAGATCCAGCCAACAAATGGTATTTTCCCATTACAAGATCTAATATCTAACCTGGAATGGTAGTTACGAATTGACATTGGGTATACCACCGCCCATTCAACAATCCCATTGCACAATCGTAGCAACTGCATTTGCAAACCGTTCTAAGAGGTGTTTCATGTAGCCGTTGACTTGTTTGCACAGTTGCCTTATTCAAAGGCCAACATTTGAAACACAAAGCCAACGACTAACAATAGAACAAGTATATGTACAACCTTCCACTATCATCTCATTTTAAAATCGTAGCCACAAGGAGCTTTGGTAACATTGATAATAGGGTATACAAACCATCGCTTGAGGTGAAAGAGTTTCTTGAGCAAGCCGACAAGCTAGACAAGATGTTTGCCCCCATGCCGCCGGATCCTTTCTACTGCCGCTCATCAGCTAAGCGAGGCAAGAAGAAGATGAAACAGCTCAAGATCCAGAAGGCTATCGGCAACATGTCAAAGCCAACAACCAACTTCCAGGGTGTACCAGTTGACAAATGCACATACGTGCTTGAGTTGGAGCTGTCTGTATTCATGCATACTTAACCTAACCCTAGTGCTGCTAGTCCGGTTTGAACATGTCAGAAAGGTATTTTCGTATGACGGACAGACGACTCGGGATCCACAATCACGGTTCGTGATTGGGGATGTGTGACTCAAATCAGATGGTTATCCGATCATCATCAGATGGCCAGGAGTACGAGGAACGAGGACAATGGTCGTCTAGATGATGCAACTACAAAGGTTAGGAAGTTAGGTCGAAGAGATAGAATGCAAGGAGCGATGGGACGGAGCAAATGAATGGACGATGAAGGTCATAGGTTTAGTAAAGTGGGAAGCCCTCCAGGGCCAACCATACACTTCAGGAAGATAGATCGACGAGATCTATCTGTTGATGAAACTGCGAGAAGCAGAGGATCGAAAATCCTGGTATATGTATGCATATCTGAGCTCAGTTGTAGAGCTCACATCTGAACGAGAGAGAAAGAGAAACGAAACAGATAGCCAGTCTACTAGACAGTAGAGCTGGAAGATATTGTTAAATTAGAGAAATTGTGCGTTCAAGTTCACACCTTTTAAAACGTTTTAAAACGATAGCTATCAGGAAAGAGTGAGCTGGATCCAGGTTGTCAAACAGAAAGAGAAAAATTGAGAAGTAAGTAAAGATGTCTACGGAGGTAGAGTATCATCGTCGAGCAAGTATCCATCTTCGATGGGAAAGATGAAAAGTTCAGGTTCTACAAGGTCAAGATGATGGCCCATTTATCAAGTATGGGTACGTAGAACTGATGAAAGACTCTACGGAGATCAAACCGGACAACTGGGAAAACCCTACAGGTACGGGCAAGTTGTCGGACGACGAAGTAGAAAAGAATCGAAAGTTGCAGAAGAAAAACAGCAAGGCTGCTGGAATACTGCTGGATTCGATCAATGTGAGACCATCGAAGGGCAAGTCGCCTCGACCTACTGGCCTCACACCAAACGATGACCATGCTGCTGGGAAATTCAAGGCATGTGGGAGTCCATGCTGGACCTCTACGATGCGAAGACAGTGGTGAGGTAGCAGCTCGACGAACGAATACTACGCGATTAAGATGGACATCAAGGAAAACCCAAAGAAGTTTGAGATTGGACTCGACGTGAAAAGCAAGAAGTAGCGAAGGATGGGTTCAAGATCGGACGAAGAGTACATCAAGGACCTTCTCGAGAGGATGCCGAAGAAGGAAGGAGAAACTCGGAGTGTATCATGAAGTGAAGAAGAATGTTCTGACGAAGGATCAAGACAACAGGACATGGAATAACGTAAAGGTGTGGTGGATGAATTATGCGAAACTACGATGAGATTAAAGCACGAACAAGTCGACAGACCACAATGGCGAAACAGCTTTCATGATTGGGGAAAACAATTCAAGGGCAATGCAGGAACTGTGGAAGATGGACACAAGCAACAAAACTGCCCAGACAAGAAAGGCTCGAACGGAAGAAGCTCGGACAAATACAGGAAAGTCACAACGTAAATTCAGCAGGAACAATGGGCGTGCGGATTTCAGGAAAGAGAGTTCGGCGGAAAGTGCTTCCCAACTGTGAAAGATTGGCACAGGAATAGGATTCTAAATCAAGCGAACAACGAAATGTAGAAGGGCAAACACGACAGAAACAACGAAGAATGATTCATATATGCGTGCGAAGAATAGTGCTACTGCCGAGGGTAGGTGTAGACGAGGAAACAGGAGGGTGAAGAGCATCGATATGAGGCAAAGATGGGACGCCTTGGGCGATTTTGAAGCGGTAGTATGACGTGGATGCAGATGGATAAGTCTGGAGCAATTTAACTTTGAGGCGTATGGCAACCCTAAATTTCTCCAAGAGAACAACAACGTGCTGAAGAAGAATCGCACATACAACAGAACCATGACTTACTATCTGTCCTGCGAAACGAGAGCGAGGCAAATTCCGGACAGCCCGAAACACTGCACGATTTAAAGCAAACGGCTACAACGAAGAAGTTCTGAGAAGGAGGAGAAAGAACGACAAATTCCCACATTACGAAGCGAAATACTCGCTGTTTGAACGAAGACGGAGAAGATTAAAAGTGTCAACATTCAGTGCCCGGAACGTGCAAGCACATGTTACCGGCTTGGAGCGACACTATGATGGAGAAATCGCAAACATCCAATCCACTGAACCCGACTCCATGATAACCGAGCACGAAGGATGGGATTTGGCGATTCAATAGTGGTTACAGGGAGGAGAATGCGGAAGAGCAATGCTCAATATCCCCGAAGACATGGAAGGGCACTCGGCACCAGAGATGAAGCAACTGTCGGAAACTTGAACTTCAAGATGTTGCTGATGATGAGCCATACGAGATGCAGAACAACCCCCATCCTTGGAGCTCCAGGCGGAAGTCTAGGTTTGGGCCAGCAGTTTGTTGCTTTTCCGATTGGACTCCAGACTACGACAACAATCGCAGGGGTGCTATGTTAACGTGCAAGAGTAAAGCGCGGACAAACGTCGGCGAAGAAACAGAAAACGCAGGAATGTTCGGATTCACGGCATTCAGCATTCCCGAAAGTAGAAATGAAGTATGAACGGATGATGGTGCACAGGCTCAAAACAATCAGGGATTGGAAGGTGCACGTGACTATGACACTATTGGGAGAGCGGATCGCAAACCCATGCCAGTGTTTGTACGGTGGAAGCGCTATGATTCTGGTCAGCGTGCTAGTGAGCAGACAAGCAGAAGATGGCGCAACGAGGCAATACAAACACCTGAAGAAGGAAGGTACCCAGGTATGATGCTCGAAGAGGAGATTTTCGGGTACGATCTATCCTACGGAAATATGGTATCCCAAGGGTAGCAGCCGATCGCATTTACCATGAACAACAACGTCGCAAAGC